ACGACTTGTATAAGTTATACCACAGTACCAATAAAATCAATTCTTATCTCTGTTGTCACATGATTGTAATCTGTTAGAACTAGTGTTAACGACTTGTATAAGTTATACTACAGTACCAATAAAATTAGTCCTTACTTCTCATTGCATGATTGTAATCTGTTAAAACTAGTGTTAACGACTTGTATAAGTTATACCACAGTACCAATAAAATCAGTTCTTATTTCTGTTGTCACATGATTGTAATCTGTTAGAACTAGTGTTAACGACTTGTATAAGTTATACCACAGTACCAATAAAATCAGTTCTTATCTCTGTTGTCACATGATTGTAATCTGTTAGAACTAGTGTTAACGACTTGTATAAGTTATACTACAGTACCAGTAAAATTAGTTCTTACTTCTCATTGCATGATTGTAATCTGTTAGAACTAGTGTTAACGACTTGTACAAGTTATACTATAGTACCAATAAAATTAGTTCTTAGTTGTCACATGATTGTAATCTGTTAAAACTAGTGTTAACGACTTGTATAAGTTATACTATAGTACCAATAAAATCAGTTCTTACTTCTGTTGTCACATGATTGTAATCTGTTAGAACTAGTGTTAACGACTTGTATAAGTTATACCACAGTACCAATAAAATCAGTTCTTATCTCTGTTGTCACATGATTGTAATCTGTTAGAACTAGTGTTAACGACTTGTACAAGTTATACTACAGTAACAATAAAATTAGTTCTTACTTCTCATTGCATGATTGTAATCTGTAACAACTAGTGTTAACGACTTGTATAAGTTATACCACAGTACCAATAAAATCAGTTCTTACCTCTGTTGTCACATGGTTGTAATCTTACCGTTAGAACTAGTGTTAATGACATGTATAAGTTAGAAAGTATTAACTAAACTAAGCTTTCATGTGAATATCATACAAGCACAGATTTTGATAATATTTGCCAATAACTAAAGCTGATTTTCGTTTACCAGATTCTTTTAAAATCTGCCATTTTGGTTTCAATGTCAGGCAGTAACTTAGTGACACTGTAATCTTAAACTTGCTTTTCATATAACTTATGAGGAAATAAAAGGTACAGCAGTGATCAGGAAAGACTAGAAAACAAAAGTTAAACTTGATCAATGTGCTCACCAACTTACAGATAAGTTTTCTTGGTATAGGTCCAACAGTTCCTGAACTGTGACGTCTAGTTGCTCAGGATATTCTCGTAAAAGCTGAGCCAATCCTGCAGCAGCAGCTTCCCTAACTACACTCTCTGGATGGGAAACATCATTCAATAACTTTGAGCAGAGCATAGGATCCACATTTAGTTTAGCTTCATCCCAGAGTCTGGATAAATACAAAATAATCTTGATAAAGAACCTTTTCGTAAGACGTGAGAAAACAAAAGAATATGTAAACTGGACGTTAAAAGTATTAAACAGTATGATAAGCCCAGTTTGCTATAGTAACAATACCTAAAAGACATAAAGAACTTTCAAGAATTTGCAAGGTTGTTTTCGTAATAAAATGAAGTTTTTGGTGAACCAAGAAATTTTCATTCCTTGAATTTTAATTATTTGTTTAAGATTGAATTTTTTTGTATGCTCAGCAACGTTTCAAGGTGGTGCAATTATGATTTATTTGTAACTAGCTAACATACACGTTCAAAAGACGTAGGTTTTCTGGTGGTGGGTGACGTGGGAGTCACTTCCCTCTGCTTGTACAATCAACGTGGGGGTCACTTCCCACTGCTTGTACAATCAACGTGGGGGTCACTTCCCACTGCTTGTACAATCAACGTGGGGTCACTTCCCACTGCTTGTACAATCAACGTGGGGTCACTTCCCACTGCTTGTACAATCAATGTGGGGTCACTTCCCACTGCTTGTACAATCAACGTGGGGTCACTTCCCACTGCTTGTACAATCAACGTGGGGTCACTTCCCACTGCTTGTACAATAAGTAAATGCTAAGATACACTTATGTTGATACCACCTGAGTAACATCAATTACATTACAAATAACAATGGTACTTGAGTTATTTTACAAAACAAAACAGAAGTAGCTATTTTACAAGTCCCACCGGTATTTGAGTTACACAACAAAAATGGTTACTTTAAATGTCACAAATGGTATCAGAGTTACTTTTCTGCCAGTTCCTTAACACCATCGTCAGAGTCAAACTTTGTGATCCACACTCGGCGTGTCACCTCCAGGCCAAGTTCATAGCTTGTGCTGGTTGAGGGCAACACCATAACTAGCACTAACAGCCCCTGCAAAGAAGTCACATCAGTAAAAAACATTCACAGAAAAGATAAATTAAGAAATGCCTGTAACATTTCTGGTCACAAAATGAGAATCTTGAAAGTCAGATCAAACTTAAATTAAGTACTTAAAAGTTCATCTCAGTGTATTATCTTCAAACAAATGTTAAAGAGTAGTTATAAAAAAAAAACTATCATTCAGAACAGGAGTGTCAAACCACTGGCCTATAACTTGTTTTAAACAGTCCAATCGATGCTTGTGTTGTTTTATCACAAGTAACAGACAAAGTGTTGTGACAGAGGGCAGGAAAAAAAGAATGAACTGTCAATTATTCATCAATTTGGCCCAAAGGTGAAAGAAGTTTAACAACCATGACTTAGATCCAGTTAGTGGTTGTGTTTTTATATCATGAACAAGAACAATGCTGTGTTGGAAGAGGCAATGAACTGTCATTTACGAATCTGGCCTTATTGACCTAAACAACCCTACTTAGTAAACTATTAGAGAGTAACAAGCATTTTTTTATTTAAATATTATCAATCTTCAACTTACACTTAGAGCAGCTTCCCTGACTGCAGGCTCTGCAGAGGTTAACCCTAGCAGCAAGGACTGAACCTCATCAAAGGAAGCTCTGGCACATCCTTCCAAACCACTTGCTGCTGCAGCCACGTCAATCAACGTCTTAGTTGAAAGTTGCTGAAAGATTCACAGATACAAATAAGCTACTCCTTAAAACCACGATGGAGTCTTACTTAATTAACTTCTACAGATGGCAGACTACTTGACATGTCTTTTTTAGATGACACATCAGTCTTGATAAGAAAGCCTCCATACGGAGACTTCAGTCTTGGTAAAGCCTTCACAGAGAGACTTCTGTCTTGATAAAAAGGCCTCCACATAGACTTCTGTCTTGATAAAAAGGCCTCCATATAGACTTCAGTCTTGATAAGAAGGCCTCCATATAGACTTCAGTCTTGATAAGAAGGCCTCCACATAGACTTCAGTCTTGATAAGAAGGCCTCCATATAGACTTCAGTCTTGATAAGAAGGCCTCCATATAGACTTCAGTCTTGATAAGAAGGCCTCCACAGAGACCAAAACATCATCAAATAAAAACACATCAGGTAGTCTCCTGTATACAGAAGTTTCCAGAGTTGCCCAAAACCTATACTAATAAACTCATCTTTAATACATGCAATTAAACTAATTCTTAAAGCATACAAATAAAATCATTCTTCATTCGTACAAGCAAGTTAATCCATAATATATACAACCAAGCTGATCCTTAATACATACAAGTTAATCCATAATATATACGACCAAGCTGATCCTTAATACACACAAGTTAATCAATAATATATACAACCAAGCTGATCCTTATTACATACAAGTTAATCCATAATATATATGACCATCCTGATCCTTAATACATACAAGTTAATCCATAATATATACGACCAAGCTGATCCTTAATACATACAAGTTAATTCTTAATACAAGCTGATCTTTAATATATTTGCTGATGTTTGTGAAGAGTGTAGTTCTCACTCAAAAACATTGCTGATGTCAGTGAAGAGCGTAGTTCTCACTCAAAAACATTGCTGATGTCGGTGAAGAACGCAGTTCTCACTCAAAAACATTGGTGATGTCGGTGAAGAACATAGTTCTCACTCAAAAACATTGCTGATGTCAGTGAACAGTGTAGTTCTCACTCAAAAACATTGCTGATGTCAGTGAAGAGCATAGTTCTCACTCAAAAACATTGCTGATGTCAGTGAAGAGCATAGTTCTCACTCAAAAACATTGCTGATGTCAGTGAAGAGCATAGTTCTCACTCAAAAACATTGCTGATATTGGTGAACAGTGTAGTTCTCACTCAAAAACATTGCTGATATCGGTGAAGAGCGTAGCTCTCACTCAAAAACATTTGTGATGTCGGTGAAGAATGTAGTTCTCACTCAAAAACATTGCTGATGTCGGTGAAGAATGTAGTTCTCACTCAAAAACATTGCTGATGTCAGTGAACAGTGTAGTTCTCACTCAAAAACATTGCTGATGTCAGTGAAGAGCATAGTTCTCACTCAAAAACATTGCTGATATTGGTGAACAGTGTAGTTCTCACTCAAAAACATTGCTGATATTGGTGAAGAGCGTAGCTCTCACTCAAAAACATTTGTGATGTCGGTGAAGAACGTAGTTCTCACTCAAAAACATTGCTGATGTCGGTGAAGAACCTAGTTCTCACTCATTTTAAAACAAAATTTCTCTTGACCGTGAATTAAATCTATTTCCTTCTGTCATTTTATCAAATGCTCTAAAACAGCTGAAACAATAACTTATTTACTTATCTATGGATTGTTTTATTAAAACAGAAGTTAAAATTTATAATTATGATTACAACTCAAATACTTAAAAAAGGTAAAATACTTCAATAACGTTATACTTATTTTTTACACTTTCAAATACCTGTACTTTCCCAGAAGTCTGCCCAATGACTTGAATCAACACATCTAACATTTCTCTTCGTGGAAGATAGACGGGACTATTCTGGAAAAACAACATATTTAGTTTTTATAAAGTTTAATCCCACGTATACATATCAGGCCAATTTGACTGACTTTGGAACCACTACAAAATTTGGAAAGCTTTTAATAAACATTACAAGTCTGTTTTACACATGAAAAATGCGATTTTTTTAATAAAATGTTTTTGCTAAAAATTTGTTTGTGAGCTTATAAAGCCTTTATGGAGTCAGACTGAGTGAAAGGTGATTTTAATGCTAAGAATAAAAATATTTCTTTTCACCTTACAGTTTTAATATTTCATTAAATGAATATTAAAAGTTTTTTGGGGGAAATAATTTATACTCTTATTTTCTCTACCCTAAAACCTAACTGTAGCAAGTTCATCAGTGTACAGTTAAATGAAAACACGAAAAAAAAAAAAATCAAAATACCTTTCTTTTCTTAAATGATTACAGATTGTAACAACAATGGAAATTATTTATTGTAACAAACACAGATGTCTAGCCTTTTTAGCATGTTCTCTTTTAGTTTTATTGCTTTATTTCTGTACTTGGGCCCGGCATGGCCAGGTTGTTAGGGCGCTCAACTCGTAATCTGCGGGTCGCATGTTCGAATACCCGTCACACCAAACATGCTCGCCCATTCAGCCGTGGGGGCATTATAATGTGGTGGTCAATCCCACTATTTGTTGGTAAAAGAGTAGCCCAAGAGTTGGAGGTGGGTGGTGATGATTAGTCTTATACTGCTAAATTAGGGATGGCTAGTGCAGATAGCCCTCATATAGCTTTGCGCAAAATTCATAACAAATAATTTCTGTACTATGAACAGACTTCAGTACCATGGCAACTAATATATCACCCAGAAGGAGAGCAGAAAGCTTAGGACAATCAAAATACCAGGTGAAATAATGTGACATCAAATTACTTACGTTATGTGCATTCTTTGAAGAAAGATCACGAGAAAGGTTTTTATTGAATTTTTGTTTTCACTCAAGTTTTCTTTTGTAACCTAACAAGTTTTTATTTTTACATTTCTTTTCTAAAAAAAAAAATTAATTAACCACGTAAAAACCCTTATGAATTTACTGTAGCAGCTAAGTAAATTTTCCAATAACTTTGATCTAGCTATGTAAATATCCACATGAATTTACTGTATTAATTACAGTACAGTACAGTATTAGGTGTGTAAACACTCCTTAGAACTTAAAGCACCAGCTGTGATTAACCTTTAGAACTTTGTACACAGTCTATGTTATTTGTAAACTGCATATATTTCAAGCATCCCACTTCAGTGCAATGTTTAGATTAGATACTATTCACTTACTAGATCATCTCCATCATCATCATTTCCAACCCTCAACTGAGCATGCTCTGAAATAATCTCAAGCACCTGTATTTTTACTTCAGGGTTAGTATGTTGGTCCAAGAGAGTTTTTCTCAGCAATGGGAAACGATATGTAAAAGCTGGAGCTTCAAGTTTGTGATGCACGCGTTTAAAAGCCGTGTGCTCATCACTGGGTCCACAAGCCACATTGTGTAGATATGCGATCACACGGTTTACTGCACTTGTAAGGTCTTCTTCTAGCCAAGCCGGGTCAAGCTGACATGCTGGGTTCAGGACTCGAAGAGTAATGTAGGTTTGTGATATTTCTGGTAAAAAAAAGATGAAATCACACTTTCTTATTTAAAGAGTTACGTCCTTCAAAATTCTTAGTAGAGAATAATCTGGTACTTACTTACGGTATTTACTACTTTCAAATGTCTATTTTCAGTTTCTGAACACATTTTGTCAAAAAACTCCCCCATATATCCCTCAAAAATGGTTTTGAAAATCATAATCCTAAACTGAAAATTAAAATCTTTCCATAGCAAAAGAATTCAGGGCAATTCGCAACCTCTTCGGTGGTAATTTTGCCAATTTTTTTTTTACCCAAACTCAATGGTAAATGTGGGTTGTTACAGCCTAACTATAAAAGGTCTGAAACTGGAATGTTGAAAAAAAATTGTTTTTCTTTCCTTCTGCGACAGTTTGACTTTTGTTGTGTTAGGTTCACACCTTTCATCTCTTATTAAGCTTTAAATTGATATATAATTTAGTTGGGTAGTGTTATTAGTTTTCAAGATATTGTGTTTTAGATAATCTGAATCCAAGCTCATTTATATGTGCATACTAATGAAATAATTTGCATAATTCATTGGAAATTAATTGTTGTGTGTTACTTTCAAGTTAATCAAAGTTTGAGGTCCTTAGTTTGTCCTAGAGTCCAAAACTAGTAACGCATACATCAATGTGCTATAAGCACTTCAAAACAAAGTTTCTCTACTAGAGACCATAAAAATTCTAAAATATTTTGGTCCTGATTATAAAAAAGAAATCCCTTTCAACACATTACAAGTCTATAAAATATCATGGTACTTATGTAAGACAAGGCTTCCTCCTTAGCATCCAGAAAGTTATAAAATAATTTGGTCCTGATTATAAAAAAGTTTCCGTTTCATGAGCCTGAACATCAATGTTTCTAAAATCCTTCATCCGGAAGAACACTTTGAAGTAGTAAAACATGCATTATTATGGCACTTAACATGTAACATGTTTATTTCACATGTTTAACAAATTCTATATCTGTTTGAAAAGATATCAAGAAAAATGTTTTACAGATCAGAAGAAACAGAAACACATAACTATTGTGACTAGAGCATTTCAAGAGAACAGAAATCAGTAAAGCACTCATGTATTGAAAACAATAAGGAAATGTTACTGTGATTTAATATTTTAACATTTAAAAAACAAGTAAAATACAATTCAATTAAGATATTTGTTAGTGCACATTATCAAGAGTATAGAGCTGTTATGTATCCTATAACATGCTCTAGTTTTGATATATAAATTTGACCTATCACAACAAGAAGAAACATTTGAAAGTTAATATAATTTACTAGACACCAAACTTGCTTTCCTTATAAATTTGTTGTACCATTTGATAAAATACAAGGTCTGTTTCTACGTAAGATGATTCTGTCTCTACAGCCTCTGACGTTTCACTTTTTTTTTAAACACTTAACAACTAATTCTTCATTTGAGGAAATTTTTTTATCAGCGTTTCCCCGTTTACTGTGTATTAAAAAGAAATACTACAAATAAAATAGACAATCATTAACAGTCACAAAAAATGTTTGCTTTCTTCTAAAAAAACCATTACTTTTCATGGACACAGGTCTTTACTAAAAAGCTCTTTGATTATATTAGGTATAAGCCTATTCTTTTCACATTCATAATTGTAGTTTAAAGACGAAGTAGGCTTAACGTATAAACTCACCGTAGGCCTAAATTACACCTCTGCAGTAAATAATAATGTTACTTAAACAACATATAACACTTATAACATCTGCTTTCTTGTATGAAAAAAAAAATTAACGACTATTAACACAAACATACAGCTCTAAAAATAATCTACTCAACCCAAATTGTGTTAGAGGCAAATGATTTTAGTATATAGTACAAAATACTTAATATAGATGCATTAAAAATTAGAACCAATTTAAAAGTTACCCAGAAAATCTCAGTTGTTAGTCATTCTATTAACAAGTAAAACCAAAACCATTTTTCATAAAAGTTTTGTTTCTTTGGGTTTAAGTGCAACGCTACACAATGGGCTATCTGCACTGCACTTACCATGGGCATTCAGCCCTGCTTTTTTAGCATTATAAAGCCCTCGAACTTACAAC